ATACAAATTACATATATAATTTCAAAACTCATACATTACATATATAAATACATTTTTTTTCATTTATTCCACATATTACATACATAAATACACACATTATATATAAAAATACACATAAACATGTTTTCTACACATACTCATTATAACATCATACTTTTTTTTTCTATTATAGCAACCTAACTTTTTTTGATTTTTTTCATATATACAAATTACATATATAATTTCAAAACTCATACATTACATATATAAATACATTTTTTTTCATTTTTTCCACATATTACATACATAAATACATACATTATATATACAAATACACATAAACATGTTTTCTACACATACTCATTAGAACATCATACTTTTTTTCTATTATAGCAACCTAATTTCTTTCATTTTTTTCATACATACAAATTACACATTCACATTCACAAATAAAACACATACAAATAACATACACATACAAAAAAAAATACTAATGTAAAAACACATAAATGCATCATACACATATAAACACATTCTATTTATAAAATGAAAGATGAAAAGGAACCTGTGGTAGTTTAATTTCGAAATTTTCCGGCAAAAATTCCACAGATTCAGCAACAACTCCGGCAACAACTCCGACAACAACACAACCTTAAATTAAAAGCTTAAACTAAGTAAATAAACATCAAAACATAAGAAGAATCGAAAATAGGGAAGAATTTCGACCTTAAATGGGTAAAAATTCCGGAATTGAAGTATGATCGTCTCCTCTTGGTCGTCGGTAATGGAAGTCTAGGTCGCCGGTATTGGTGGCAATGGAGGTTTGGACGGCGGCGTCGGTGGTGTAAGAAAGACCGACGATGGAGAGAATGAGAGAAAAGGGCAGACAGAATATGCAGGAAACAGCGAACTAGAGGGGTTATCTGTGCGGACCTTTAGCGGCGACGAATGGGTATTAGCGGCGACAAACCTGGAGGGAAAAGTCAGCACCTTTTTTCACGCTGTTACAACCGTTCGATTGAATACAGATCGAACGGATATTGTTCATTTGACGCGGATCGCTACTGTTGAGTATTAGCGGCGACGGCTTTAGCGGCGACATGTAACGCGTCATTTACATGTCGCCGCTAATGCTTAGTGTCGCTGCTAAAGCCATCGCCGCTAATACCCACATTTCTTGTAGTGGATAAGGGTAGGTCAAAGTAATTACCATAATTATAGGAGTGTATTTGTAGAAATTATTTATCAAATTACTAAATTACCCTTATTTATTAGTTTGATTATTTATTTATTTTTTAAATTTTGATTGGCCCACATTTATGCATACAATAACACAATAATTACTTTAAACATCTGAACCTATATATATATATATATATATATATATATATATATATATATATATATATATATATATATATATATATATATATATATATATATATATATATTAGCGGATAAGATTTATATAGGTTGGGAGAACAAAAATATAGTCAAATACCAAACTTTTTTCGGGTCTGGTGATACTATATTAACTACCGACTATATTAAATTCTAAAAAAAGGTATAAAAGTCATTTTATTTGAGTTGAGGAAAATAGCCGAATAGAAATAAAAGTTAAAGGATGATTTTGGATAATTTCCAAAAAAATGGACTAAAGTTCCAATTATGAGCAAGAATCGGGACAATATTTTTTATTTTCTTGATTATTTATTGTTTTGCAATGGTGATTTTGGGAAACTACCGTCTCCATGCTTCCATAGTGAAACTAGGCAGCTTCAATTTTTACAATCCAATAGACACACTGGGGGCTAATAAAAAAACATTTTTTTTTATCAAATCTCAATTCATCGTGTATAGAAATTTCCTGTCCATTGGGGCATGTCCCCCCACTCATCTCTATCGGTATCCGCCCCTAATATATATATATAAACATATAATGCACAATGACATAAGCATAATGAAACACCATTAAAGATTATGTTTATTGCAGGATGTATTTGTTGCTGGAACGGATACTACATTCATAAGTTTGGTATGGTCAATGAGTGAGCTAATAAGAAACCCAAGAGTAATGGAAAAAGTACAACAAGAAGTAACAGAAATAGCACAAGGGAGATCCATGATTCTGGAGAAGGACTTAGAGAAAATGCATTATCTTAAAGCCATCATCAAGGAGACCTTACGTTTGCATCCTCCACTTCCACTACTTCTTCCTCGAGAATCAATACAAGATGTGAAAGTAATGGGGTACGACATTCCAGCTGGCACACAAGCGTTTGTGAATGTTTGGGCGATTGGAAGAGATCCTACCGTATGGGAAGAACCAGAAGAGTTTAGGCCTGAAAGGTTCTTCAACTCTTCTACAGACTATAAAGGGCTTCACTTTGAGTTTCTTCCATTTGGTGGTGGACGTAGAGGGTGCCCTGGAATTCCATTTGCTATAATAATCATTGAATTAGCATTAGCGAATATGATATACAAGTTCGATTTGGCATTACCTGATGAAGTAAAAGGCAAGGATTTGGACATGAATGACAAGTATGGCCTTAGTCTTCAGAAGAAATCTCCTTTAATTGTTGTGGCAACTTCTCGTTTCTAGTAGCTGCCTCACTATGTAACTTTCAATATTAATACTGAAGAGATGTTTCATAATAAATATAATATTGAACATATGTTCATTTATGAACAAATATATAACAGATGTGAAGTATGAAGTTGATGCAGATGCAAATCTAGATTTCAACAATTAGGCATGCAATGACTTCCCAACAGTCCAAGAACTAAATGCATATTCTTATCAAACACAATAAAGTGAATAAACGAATAATATCTAGAAAAAATGGTAATAAAAAATAATATCTATAAAAAGATGGCAATAAACAAATAACATCTAGAAAAAGATGGCAATATATCCCAGATGCATATCTATTAAAATAAAAAGCAAACAGAATGTGACAATCGAAAATAAAAAAAGGAAAAAACTAAGAATAAGAACACCAATGTCAAAGTGAATGGTTTGAGGAACGGGATACATGATTAATTTGTTTCTCAGACCTTAGTTTTGATCAGTGAAGACCTAGAAATATGAATACATTACCTAATACCGAAGTGCAAGATTCTTTGCTTAGCTTCCTTAATTTGTTCGGTTTGAATCCTGGTGAGACACTAATCGCAAGAGCAAGTACACTGTCATGAAAATTACAAATATAAACTTGAGTTAAAATTTTACACAACTTGAAAGCTTTCATAAAAACAACTAGCGGAACAATTATGCAACTAACCTTTTAGCAACAATGGCGTCATTACTCATTATTATAAATGGAACTCCTTGAATGGATACGAGAGAGCATATCCGGATTCCACCGCCTTCATCTTCCATTGATGACGAAGGTCCTAGTAAGGTCTAAAGACATTGCAAGTCCACATCCAGGGAGCCAACAATTCATGGTATTGGATCGATGTAGGGCCTCAAACCGCATCCACTTAGCGTATGTTGGAGCAGCACACTTATTCGGCCTCAAACGATGGCATCGCCGATTTAGCCTCCGATTTGTCAGAATGCAGTATGAATGGAGCCGTGAGATGCCGATTGAATCTTCTTCTCTTCCGGTTGTCCGATTTACCGTCCGATTCTACCAATTTTAACTTTTAGGATGCCATATAGTTTATATATTGGTAATTGTTAGTTTTGTTATACTTTGCTTGTATGTGGAATGTATATTTTGTATATAGAATGTTATAATGCTAGTTTAACTTATAAGACTATGTTGTTTTATTTGTAGTTGAAAATGCTTCAAACAATGTTAAAAGATCCGGCATGTAGTGCTGCACTTGAAGATTGGTTTCGTTCGTTGCCACAACGAAATGAAACCGGAGGAAACGATGACGAGTAGATAGTTGTAGGATTTTTTTATGTTTTGTTTGTACAAGTATTTTAGACTAGTATTTTCGATATTTTGTTATATGTTAAATCGGATGAGTATTTTTAATGGATGTTGTATTAATATTTATGAATGGAATGATGTAGGATTAGATTAATTAATATCATAACAGTTTTTATACTTTTTATATGGTTTATATATATATATATATATATATATATATATATATATATATATATATATATATATATATATATATATATATAAAGGAAAACACCAAAACCGACGACACCTTTAGTGGCGACAATAGGTTATTAGCGGCGACACAAACTTATTAGCGGCGACAACGGGCATTAGCGGCGACCGTTTGATTAGTAGCGACGAAGCATCAGCGACGACCCTTTAGCGGCGACATGTCGCCGCTAATAGTATTAGCAGCGACCAGCCCCACTTTTAGCGACGACGCCTGTCGCCGGTAATACTCTAATTTCTTGTAGTGGAAGGATTCCTCCATGCATGCATGACATATCCGCTGAAGTAGTGGCTAAAGTCGATGCTCTTCAAATCCAAAATCATGGCCCCAGAGCTAATAATATTTGATTGGGATAGAGAGGCGGTGATGGTTTTACTTTTGGCGAAGGAAGATGGTGAAGCGATACGTCGCATATGCAACAATGGCAATGGTAGGTGAAGCAAGCGTTTTTCAATTAAGGAGTGTCTATCATGCCCTTCCAGCGTTCCAGGTATATGATTACGTGCATATCATGTACTATTATACCCTACACCCATTTAAACTTATACCCCTCCGGTGGACGGTTGACCGGTGTAATATAAAAATATTAATTTTACTTTGTTCTATGTGTTAACATACATTGTATAATGACAAACCTATCCAAACAAACATAATATGAATGAAAAAAAAGCATTAAAACACAATAAAATAAAAAGAATATCAATCGACTAACACACAATGCAATCCACATGCAAAACATGTTTCACAACTAAAATACGGTGATCTTACAAAATATAATGCCCTAATTAGAAAAAATTGGAAGTACAATATTATGATTGTGTCAAAATTTTGAAGTACAATACCCGTTGATAAAAAATATGAAAGTAGAATGTTGTAATGGAATGAAATGGAAGTAGGAATTTGGATATTATAAAACACAAATAAACACAAGCACGTTATGTTTTTGCATCAAGTCCAAAACTAAATGAACGCAAATTTGTAAAAGGTTAGGACTTAAAAGTCAGTAAAAAGAACATAAGAAAAATACTAAATAATGTTTGAAAAGCTGCCAAATAAATAAATTGTATATAATTCTACTTTGTACCCTGATGTTTGAGATAATTGCAAGCATAACCAAATTACATAAGTTAAACATATGAAACAATACAACCAATCATAAACTTAACTTAACGAAACATAGAACAATAAAAATTAACGGAAAAAAACTTCACTCATCAATGAGTTTCTTGAGTTAATATTATTTACCATACAACTGGACTTGTCAAATACATCAACATCATGATTATCAGAAATAACATAATATTAGTATTAACCAAATATATAAATAAATATATAATATAAAGAAAATAATTTATAATGTTTAATAAAAACACAATAATGTCATCAATACATAAATATATTACATGCTTATATACTAACATACAAATATATTGCATACTTATATACTAACGTATGTTGTAGTGTTTATATATTTCTTTATATAAATACAATAACAATATATAAAAAATAATGTCATTATATAAAAAGTAATCAGCCCTTCTTTTAATCATAAAATCCTTTTATAGGGACAATACCGACAATATGAGATGTCATATTGCTCAGTTCCACCACAAGCCAAAAAATTTAACCATGATGTTAAAATCAACGCATATATAAATCCTAAGGCACCATTCTTGAAAATAATATTTTTCCCTAAAAAATTGTTTGTAAAATAGCAATTTTAAAAATCTAAAAATCTAAAATTCTTTCAAGAAGTATATAAATGAAGTTCAGTTTTAGTTTTTTGAAAAGCGTTATAAAAATTAAAAGTTCAATTGATGGAATATATAAGTTAGACTTATTTTTCATTGTATTTTATGTAACAAAAATGATTCGAATAAATTTTACATATGATCCATCATATAGTAGTTTTCATTGCTTTCCACTGTAATGTTGTCGAAGCCAATGTATTCATTAATAACATAATAAGGAAAGCAAACAATTAATAAGAGTGTAACGTAACAAAGAATTCCTTGGTTCGAGTATGTTTCATCTTCATTTTCAGTATTCAATTCACCACTATTCCAAAAACTTGAGAAAATCAAAATGAATATAAAAGGGAAGGAGCATTGAACTCACGAAATAGCAACTAACTTTGTAAATTTTTTGCATTTAACTAAAAAAATTGGGTTAAAAAAATGCAAACCGTTAATTAAGAAGCATAGATATTTGATTAAAAATACTACTGGTACAATTACATATTTGATTAAAGATAAATGATATGCTATGTGGTTTTATTACAAAGATCAGCATACATTTTTTTCTAGCCTTCTCTTCCTTAATAATATCTTCAAGTCAATCCCTACAAAATAATCATGCACACTTCCAATGTTAAAAAAAATGCACAGACTCCAACTTGCTATTCCAAAAAATAATGATTTTTTTATAATAATATAATATCAATATTTGACAACTAATAATATTAATTGTAGTCGAAAAGAAATTGATGTGTCAAATAAGACATAGTTCTTGTTTCATTTGGGCACACAACTACATGCAAATCCTGAAAGAGGGACATTTTTCTTAATGTTCAACCTTTAATCAAGTGAGTCTTTTGATGCAAGTCCTGAAAGATTGGAACACCTTCAACAGTAGTTAAGGCCTTTATTTGATTCTTCATCGATAGGTTTCCATGTCTGTCAAAAAGTGAAGTTAATGTTAAGTTTTGTGGAAGGACAATTCTTATGATAAAATTTATTTTTTAATTCTTTCATTAATTCATTTCCAGAGTCATATCACACTTGAAGGTCTGTTTGATATCTACCGCAAGTCCAAGAGTTGTTTTTGAAGTCGAGAGGTACCTTCAGCCATCTGACACAAAAATTCAGCCCATATTGTGTAGTTCCATGTTGGTATTTCCAATAGAACCACTAGTTTTGGATGTCCGCAGGTGCCTTCAGTCATCTCGCATACCACCCCATATTATTTGTGTAACGTCCCATGTCCGCAGGTGCCTTCAGTCATCTCGCATACCACCCCATATTATTTGTGTAATGTCCCATTTTCACAACCAAATTTTTTTCATTTTTATTAAGATAAAACTTCCCAATTTATAAATCCATTATTAAGAAAACTGTTCATTCCAAATTACATTTATTAAAAATCAGAGTATCATAGAAAACGCGGAATCCTCAATGCTACTAATGAGTGTGTACAGTCCCGCTTTCGCCTTCTCATAGTCACCGATGATACCAGAAACAATAAACAACTGGGTAAGCATAAAGCTTAGTGAGTTTCCCCCAAAATGCCACCTTACAAACGGATAACATATACAATCAAACATGTCGGGTCCAGTCAACCATCGGGTTGGAATACCTCAGGCAAGTCAATCTCTGCGTCCAGTCACCCTTGGGATGGAATACCCCAGGTTGGAATGCCAATATACAACGGGTCCAATCATCCATCGGGCTGGAATACCTAGGGTTT